TCTCAGTAGTACAAATTGTAGTAGTTTGAGGGGCTGAGTCCCTTCCGGGATTCGAACCCACATGTCACATTTGATCGTTTTCACGTCAAGACCGATGGATTCGAACCATGCACATCCGACACAGGTTACATCCACAAATCATTACAGCCTGTACTATACTTGCTATCAGTGGTGTATCTGTGAGAACAGTTCAACGTCTACGACGTCTACGCCACTACACCATCCGTGCAAGGCGCCAACACCGACGGCCAATTCAGACGCAGGAGTGAGTGAGTTTAGTTTTACGTCGATATTAGCAATATTCCAACAATATCACGTCGGGCGACACCAGAAATGGGCTTCACATATTTTAACAATGTGGGGAATCGACCCGGGTTTTAAAGCGAAGGCTTTAACCACTAGGCTACCCCACTACCAACCAGACGCCAGAACATCGTCGACGCAGCCAACATTTATGAGTGTAGAAGAGTTCTCTTCACGATGAGTCACGTTTCTTCAGGCGTATAGGTGAATTTTTACATCACGTACTGACCGTGTGTCCGTGTTATGGCTCATTTTCAAACTCCGGGCGCGTTGTTCTGTTGGACTGTGGATCGTTGCCATACCTTGAAATTTGTCTTTCCACGTAAGAACATTTCATCAAGTAAAAAATTAACACTGAATCGATTGTAGTGTGTCTCAATAACTTTTGCCTTTGAGAAGATTAATAGATATGCTACGTGATATTTTTGGGGTGGTAATATGTGATAAATGTAATATATATTCCGTGATAACGGAATTGTGTAACTTTTCCCAACCTCTTTCTAACTAAAGACCACCTGAACCATTCTCTTTAGACGTTCTAAATTGCTCATAACTGTGGACAGCAGAATTGAATCGAATGGATGTTTAGCCATGCAGAATCACCACAAACAGTACAGCATACCCTTTTAATAATATTATCATTACATTTCCTCTTTAAGGCAAGTTCTCAGTACCTATTGCCAGCTTACAGGTATGTCAACATACATTCTAATTGTCCTCTTGACGTCCGTTATAATCGCGATATCAAATGACATTGTTCCCATTATCTCTTCTTAAGCTGAGTATATGTATATTTGTCTTTCATCTCAATGTTATGCAGACATAGAGTATTCTGAAAAGCCTGAAACAACAGATCCATGGGGTATATTGGTATATCTATATGTCGTTTGAAAACAAGTTCAAGGATACCATCAGGTTCAACAATGTCCTGTCACAAGCATCATGACAGCCTGTAGATAATCGAGTCTGGACCCGACACCCTCCGAGTATACTGAATCATAGTTTGAAAACTATTTCAAGGGTGATTACACAATGCCATTTTAGAAAGTGGTCAAATGTAACATATGTTATATCTGGGATTACACTTTCTTTGTATTGTTCAAATTCTAGTACTTTTTGGGTTGAGTCCCTTCCGGGATTTGAACCCGCACCCTCAGAGTCAGGCACCTAATCGCCAGCACACAAGGCCAGCTTCCTAACCCGCTCAGACACCGCGACTTCCACAAAAATGGAAGTCAGACAACTAGTAGTCCAGACTGCGGACTTTGTGTACCCCTCTGATAAGTGTAAATTGGCACTGCTCCCACGGCCGAACACAATGCCATTTGAGAAGGTTGTCAAATCTAACAAGGATTACGCCTCGATCAACAATGTCCCACAATACGGCAGAATGTAAATAATCGAGTCTGGACCCGATACCCACAAAGTATACCATGTTTCCAAATTCAATGAGTTGTAAAACCTTGTTTTAAAGATCATTTAAACCTGTAGATACTTATGCATATCCAATAAGCTCTAATTTATGACGTACAATACAAACTATTATAACAGTAACTGATCATAATATGGTTGATCCACATGCATTAACAGATAACGTATACCTCCATGGTAACACTTTTATACATAATAGCATGATAATATACTGAGGAGCAAACAAACTATACCTCTCGGTTGATTACTGAGCGATATTCTATTTATTAAATACATTAACTGTACTGGCAGTCTCACTCATACTTTTACGTGGTTTTACGTGGTTTTATCTTTTGATTCAAATGTAGTTAAAACATAGAAACGGAACAATTCGGTAATATGCAACTCATGATGGGTCTTTTTAGCTGTGAAAATATATCTGTTTTTTTTCGGCACAAACTTATATTTCAAATATGGTAAGGTCATCAAACTTCATTTATTTCTCAGGTCTTCAGTGAATATTGTATTTTAACACATAATGTAATTACCCAGCCACCGATTATTTATACAAACTGTTGCAGGATGGTTTATAGGGTATAATCAAATTTTACAGCAATTCTTTTAATTTTCAATTATACAGAAATTGTTTTTTGTTTCTCCTCATTTAGTGTTTACAAGGCGAATCCATCACTGGGTCTAAGTAAACTGAAAGTACATGTTATATTTCTCAGTTGGGGTACCATCAGAAAGTACTGATGATCACCCACTCTCAACACATTTCAGGTATCCAGTCATGGCCAGAAATGTATATTGGCGTATTGACCAAGGTTAAGTACAGTTTCTTCTATGAGGTAACGATGTCAGTGCATGTTCTCCGTTATCTTAGAATGTTGACCAAATGGGCAAACATATACGTCCTATGTTGAACACAATTCCGCAAGTAATCATAACAATATAATCGGGTCTATACCTTCAGTGAGTTGGGCTCCATTCACTGAGTTCAATTTTAGTCTAACTACCAACTTCAATAGACCCTTTGCTTGGGCATATTTCAGCTTGTGACAGTCTCTTCTTTTGTAGGTCGTTTATCGTTTCCATCTTTGTATGGAAAAATACCCCTTGACAAGTGCTCCCTAACAAAGCATGGCATTAGGTTTCACAAATAAAGATTAGATATATACAAACCAACCAGTAAACGTTTTTGGACATATTTAATATCTTGATACATTTAAAGTATGTATGACTATGTAACATGGAATGTCATGGAAACAGAGGTACAGGATAGAATAAATTTCATATTGTCTGATCACGATGGGCAGTAATGCGGAAGATCAGACACCGCGACACATGGTGATTGACGCAGCTCTTCAACTGCCACTGGTTTGGGAATGTCTGTGTTTCGACATTCATTTTCAAGATAAAGAGATAACTTAAATAAGGAGTCATCATTTGTTGTCAGTAAACATATGAATAGTATGGTGTTTATAATACAACAAGGGCAAATATTGAAAGAGAGAATTAATATTTAAAGTCACATCAACAGTATTTCAGGCACATCGTGTCTAAACATGTTAAACATTAAAAATACATTTCACACTAAAACGTGTCGTCCGTTGTTTCTTAAAACAAGACATCTAGCTTGATTTTAAGTTTAAATAAGCTGAATATACAAATAGAACATGATATTATGAAAGTGTTTCAACAGAAATTGCATATATCTGAATCGGTACAAGGGTGGTTCCCTGGGTATTTTGCGCTGGCGTGTCATTGACTCCTGACAAGGCCTCCGCTACTGGGCGACACGCCTTAAATATTTACTGTAGAAAAATAACAAGAACGGGTGGTTAGAAGTTTTTTTGTATTTTTCGCTCTCGTGGTGCCACACCCGATATTAAGGCACTTCTGTTCAATTCTTGTGGTATGTCATATGCTAGTGTGCTCAAATACTGGACAGTCAGCCCCTATGTGATAAACGTGTTTACAGAACTGTAAATAAGCCTTTTGGTTTTTTGTCCGTTTGCAACTGTTACATGTATTGAATGATTGTTCTTTAATATAAAATGTTAAAAGATACCATTGTTGTGGCTGTGCCTTTTGCGAAAAGGCACATGGTTTTCCATTTCCAGTAGATAGCATGCCAGTGTAGTGATTTGTAATAACCTGGGTAGCATCACGCAGAAATGGTCACACCATGACTGTTGTTATTCTGTTTAAGAGTGATGGCGATTGCATTACCATAATCATGCTGTGAAAGCGATATGGATGTTACGTTGAAATGATTTATGATATTAACAAATTAACATAATGAATATATGCTTTTTTTAGCATTATCCCATTCAGCCCTGACATTGTTAAAAACATGGTTGAATTTATTAGTTATGTGGTTCAATTGGTTTTAGATCTATTCATTACATTCATGCATGTCAGCACAATCGAGTGACCAAATATCAGAACAAGTGACAGACCCCACCACTGGACATGGATAAAGCGGATCAAAAGCACTATTTTCTAGTTATTATACAGTTTTATTTCCCAGCAATCAACAAAAGGGTCCAATCATCGAAATATGCGTCATGAAATTAGCTAAATTATAGATGCTGAGGATATTCAATTAATCTGGTCGTTTAGTTCCGTGTTTTTATGTACCGTTTCGTGTCAATAGCGAGCTGACACGAAATATCAAAGCACATATCGGTGTTGAAAATGGGGTGTATGTAGTTGTTTACATTTCGCCCAAACCCTCTCTGCTCAAATAACACTTTCTGCTCTAAAAGTCACTATGAACCTTATTCTTATGGCGTATACTATACTATAGTATCGATGAACATGCTAAAAATACATTCTAACCACCCGTTCTTGGAATTTTCGACAGTAAATCTATAGGGTGTCGCCCAGTAGTGGATGCCGCCAATGGGTTGCCCTTGATCGCGCCAACACAGCATACCCAGGGAACCAGGCTAAATCGGTTATAACACAATTTAGACTGTATGTCAACTTTCACATCTGGATACATCGACCTTTCATGGACTGCTTGCCTAAATACATATAGTAAGACAGGTTGGGTGAAGTTATGAAATGAAATGAAATGTAAATGAAGTTTAAAGATATGTATGTAATATTGAAACAGTTGCCTACTGAGAGATACCAATAGAATGGAAAGAATGATACACTAAGTGAAGCCATTAACAATAGTTCATCCAGAGACGCTAAGAACTCAACATGTGTCATCCCTGTTGAGCTTCTCTCTACTATAGGCTGTTGAGGCTGTTCTCACCTCTACAACTTGTAAACTGCAAATATTCCATTAAATAGGTCCCCAGATATCATTGAATGATGTTTGGTGTCAGGGAGATTTCCAAGGCAGCCGTTAGATTTTCAAAAGACAGGAAATATAAAGGAAAAGATGATGGATACAACGAAGGAGGAAGAGTAGTTCATCTCCCTGGCAAACATCATGACCTTTCAAAGCTTGGTCTCTCCTAAAAACACTGAATGACAAGAATTTGACTGTGCTTCGTCATGTAGTTCTAAAACCACGAAACTATAATGTAAACTATTGCATTTATCAGCAGAACATAAACAAGTCATATACATATATATAATGAATTACAAAAACATGAATGTGTCATGTTGAAACCGTGATCAATCACTCAGAATGTGTTACAGAATCTGACAAGATGGATGTATATATATATGTGTGTGTGTGTGTGTGTGTGTGTGTGTGTGTGTGTGTGTGTCATGTATGTATGTCAGTGTGTATGTATATATATATATTTCTTCAGTGGTACGTTATGACACTGCTAAAATGATTCGTTACTGTTAAAAACCTTAACAACGGTGTACACAATGAGTCAGTAATTGAACTCCTCAATACGATCAATATAACCTCACTTCAGAGGTGAATTTCATCCTAAGGCAGAATACATTACAAAATGACATGTTGGGCATCGTGTCATCTGTTCACTGGCTGAATATAGTAATGGCTATGTGTGTTGCTGCCATCCCAATGTCTTAATTTCATCCCTTTAGATTCCAGCAGTTTTTCTTAGATCCTTCCACAGAGTCCCGTCCCCGTCCTGGTAATCCTCTACACGTAATATGCACTCCTCTTCCACCACATTCAGCAGACGCTCAGGTAGGTCTTCCACCTGCACGGGGCCCACAAGTAACACAATGATCCGGTTAGGAATCAGATCTGTTACCGAGTAAAGTGCTGCATCAATGGTAAAGTGTGACCACTGAGAACAATCTTGAAGGAAGTCATCTGAAATCACCAGAACAGACTTCCAGCTGTTAGTGATACCGCAAATAATACCGTCGGCGATAGGAACACCTGGAAGAACATCACGATCCTTCAGAAACAGACGAGCCGGGTGATTACACTGTTCAAGTCCTGGTCGTACTTTCCGATAGATAAAAGGAACATCAGCCGCACAATACGCGACAAAGAATGTGAAATCAAACTCTTTTGGTGTCAGGTATTGAACGCCAAATCCCAATAGTCTCATTGCAATGTTGCGGTATCTAGTTGAATTCTTGGAGACAATGTATGTCATGATTATGGATGTGACAAACATTGTCATGAATGTGATCGTGAGACTTAGACTCAATTTGCCTGTACAGTAGCGATGAATACTTCTATAATTCCTAGCCACATCTACAGTTCCCGTGGTCGTGCCATTGTCCTGTATACAAGGGAAGTTTCGGTCTGATTCGTCTATCACTGTTGTGTCCATCAACCACAAGATGAAGTCCAAATTTTCACAACCACAAGAAAATATATTTCCTTGGACCTTGATCTTCATCTTGCTATTCCGTCCAGCAGCCACATCGAGTTTAGATCTAGCATCCTTACTTAGTTCTCCTATTAAGTTAAAAGACATATCCAGAAGAATAAGACTAGTGTAATTGACAAACACTATGGGGATAGTATCAAAAACATTGTGAGACAGATTCAGTTCAATTAATTTTCCTGGATTTGGTATAATTGGGAAGTTTCTGAGGCCATTTGATGACACGTCTAAATTCTGGATTTCTTCCAGTTCCTTAAACATATCAGTCTTTGTAAATGTGTAGTTAGCATTTTGTAAGTTGCAGTTTCTAATAGAAAGCTTTTTAACATTCGAGAAAGCTTGGAAAAAGTCATAGCTTATGGCACCAAAGTCGTTCCCTGAAACATCAACGTTATACACATGTTCCAAACCATATACGCGTTTGACAGATGCTTTGTTATAACCAAATAGAAAGGTCTTCAAGTTGTCCGTATTGTAAAAAGTTACATCAAAATCAACGTCTTCAGCACCAGCAAGTAACCCTGTTGCATCAAAATATACAATATTTTCTGGTAGTGCTAACGCTATTGCAGATGTTAACATGGTTTGGCTTGGTACGTCATATACCTGTCGCTGATAGCTGACATCAAGATACTTCAAACGTGAAAATACCTTCAAATGTACGAAAAGGCGAACGTCCCCAACTAGGCAGTTTTCAGATATATCAAGCACTTCAATGCATCCCCTGAAAGGATTTTTATTGATAGAGCCAGCTTCAATCATGTATATTCCATTATGTCGCAATGATAATACTGATAAACATATTTGTGCCAAATACCTTGTGCTCTTTGAGGTAAGTACACGTTCATCAATGTCAGCCTTATGCTGTAATGGAGAGGTACGTGACCCATTGCGCCAGATTCGACTCATGTTTCTGCCTACAAAGGGAAACAGGAGGTGTAAACTCTTCTGAATTCCTATCCCATTATAACACAGTTCCAAATGTTTCAAAAACATTAGTGGCTTCAAAACACCAGTTTCACAGTGTGCTATATTGCAGTGGTTCAAAATCAAACTTTCTACTTTGGTTTCATTTAAACTCTGGAATGATTTATTTGTAAGTTTTTCTACTGAACAGTCTCCACCATAGACAAATCTTGAGTCCATTTGAAGAACCTTTAAAGTTGAGAGTTTGGAGAATCCGGAACCGAAGACAGGCTCTGGAATTGAGTCTAAATATAGACTATGAAGGTTTGTAAGAGGAGGAAACACCCGATCCGGATATGATGTCATACTATTCTTTTCAAGATTTAATGTATGCAATTTATTAAGGTCTTTGAAAATATCCTCAGGGAAAGATTCATCGCCAAGTTTGTTCTTGGCAAACGGCAACACTGTCAGATTAAACAAGCCCCTGAAGACACCAGTGTCCATTTTTGAGAGTAAGTTTGAATTAAGATTCAGATAAGTGAGATTTGAGAACTTCTGAAATACACCACTGCTCAAACTGGTTAGACCATTTTCACTCATGTCAAGTGCGGTTATATTACATGGAAGATCATTTGGAAGGTGTTCCAATTGTCTCCCTTTGCAATCAGCAAACAAACCATATCGTTGGTCTGTGTGCAGGCTACAAACAGGTTTCTTCCCTTGGCAATAGCCCAGAGTCAGTAGGACCAACCCATCCTTCAGCATGATGACCTGGAAGAGAAGTTTGATATAGTTAAAGGAGAATACTAGACAATTGTAATAATTTACTGGGTGAAAGATAAAGTTATCAGAAACATGTACCCCAATTTTTATTTGAAAAATATGGTTTTCTTATGTTTTTAACGCGAAAACAGTTTCTGTTATCTGAGCTTCGGCCATTATGCATATTCCGCTGGAACTCACGTGACCTTTCCGCTCGTGACATCATATGTGACTAGTGTCCGCCATATTGCCAACGCACAAGCGCTACAGTAATACAAATCGTGTTGTTTCTGTCGTATTTGTAAATGGTACGATGGTGTATTCCGTTGCCTGGGGATGCACAGAATCATCGAACAATGGGAAGAGCCACCGTTTCTTCCGTTTTCCAAGTAAAGAGACAGATTTAGGCAGGAGAAATGCTCCGATCATTCCGAGTCGGACGCATATGAAAGAGACATGCACACATGGGATATGAAAATCCCAAAGCTTGGCTGAAGAAGGAAGAAGCACTCACGAGATTCATTTTTACTCCATCATTCCCTGTTACAACTTACTGTCAGTGGTATTTTTAACATAAATTAAATCAAGTCCGATTACCAGTCGAATTGCGCCAGCTACAAATTGCACCAGCAAATTTGGTCAAATTGCCCTGGAGTTTTGGACAAATTGCCCCAGGGTGGGGTAGTCAAAATGCTAAAATTTGTTTCAAATGATTATATATAGGCCATAAATTCATAGTTTTGTCAACTTTGATATTATGCTCTTCATATAAAAGTATATACATAGTGATTAGTTTACTAATGGAACATTTATCAGAAATATTACTTCCTAATAAGTTTTATAAAAAGATCATAGCATCAAAGTTGACAAAAACTATGCATTTACGGCATATATTTAAACATTTTAAATAAATTTGACCAAATTAGTATGAATGACCAAGTTTGCTGGGGCATTTTGTAGCTGGGGCAGTTGGACTGGTACCCATGAGATATATATTATCAAAATCAGTAAGAGATTTCACATGTACTTGAACATGTTTCGCTATAACGTTCTTTTCGGTTTGGAGCCCTAAATGCTGCAGTCTACCCGAAACATTGCCAAAAACAACGGCAAATCATGAAGCACTTGTTGCTTTCATTGTTTTCCATTTTGTCCAATTGCGCAAGTCCGCATCAGACTCGCTATTTGTCAGTAGTGTGTGCCGTGAAAGCTGTTCTGTATTCTCATTGGCTGACAAGATGTCATTCTAAGTTTATGACCGAGCACCATGTAGCTATTTCCATAACCAAACACTGGGGAAACATACATTGCCGTGGCTAGTACATTTAATTCACCACTTTTAATAATAATAATAATAAATGGATATTTCTTATGCGCCATAGTCCATCCAGAGCATGCTCAAAGCGCTACATATAAAAAGAGTGACTAGAGTTCAAGAAGAAGATATGACAATTAGCCAAAAATAACCGTGAGAGTATTTTACAGTTATAGGTTGTAGACTTTTTTGAAGAGGAAGGTTTTGAGTCCCGATTTGAATGCTTCTAGGGATGAAGCATTTTTTATATGGGAGTAGGAAGACTGTTCCATAGGGTTGGTGCTGCAAATTTGAATGACCTATGGCCAAAGTGTTTGAGACGAACTTGGGGAACTGAGAGAAGATGTTGATTCTGAGAGCGGAGAGAACGGGCAGGCATATATGTTGACAACATCTCAGAGAGGTATGGAGGAGCTAGGCCGTGTTTGCAGCGGAAAACAAGAGTGCAGATCTTGAAATGAATTCTTGCTTCAACCGGCAGCCAATGCAGACTCTGGAGGATTGGGGTTATGTGAGTCCATTTGGATGTTTTAGTGACAACTCTGGCGGCAGCATTCTGAAGTTTTTGAAGTCTGAAGAGAAGATCATTGGAGATTCCAAACAGTAGGCTATTGCAATAGTCAATCCTGGAGAGAACAAGTGACTGAGTGAGAACTTTAGCAGCATCTGTGGTTACAAGATGGCGGATGTTACCAATAGAGTGGAGATGGAAGTAGCCTACTCTACAGAGATGGTTCACATGTTGCTCCATGGTGAGACAAGGATCAAGATGAACACCTAGGTTTTTTACACTGGATGAAAGTGGGATATCTGAGTTGGCTACTGTGATGTCCGTAGAGTTTATCCTTTTTAGACATTGCGATGTGCCAATCAACATAGCCTCAGTCTTATCATCATTGAGCTTCAGCTCATTTGTCATCATCCATGAACTAATTGCCTTCGTGCACTGACTCACTCTAGATCTGGCTATTTGTACATCCTCTGGTTTGAAGGAATCCATCAATTGGAGGTCGTCTGCAAATGCGTGGTGATTCAGATCAGACTTTTCCGGGAATAACTTATCTGCGTCGCGAATATTATCTCTGCTCGACCAGGCTGGGATCTTGCCATGGAGACTTGATACGTTATTAATCAACAATAGGATCCTATTTTTTTTCTTAAAAAAATAACTCCAGTATAATTTTTGTAGCAGATAATTTCTATTTTTCCCCGTCTGAGGCATAATTATTTTGTTTTTAAATCCCAGACACTCTACAGCCACCCATTTGACACAAAAGGAAATGGAATCACATTGCAAAAAAATATAATACATAGGGTCTGGTCATATATTTATAGGGCTGGGTTTGCTGGTTGGAACTGTATCACATTTTGCTGACAAATAGTATTCTTGTTAAATTATATGGTCTATTTTTATATTTATTTTGACCTCAAGCGGTGCCTCCGTTTTGTTTGATTCTTCTTCTTCATCTTCAGTGGAAGATTGTCTTGCAAGATGTAAAATCGGATCGTGCTGATACGGTCTAACATCCATTTCAGAAATTACATCAGGAACATCTTTTATTGCTTCAGAATTCATGGACACTGTTAAGTTGTGAGGTAAAATCAAAGAGGAAGGCATCAGCAACAGGCACATATGACGCCGTGTCACGTCATACCCCTCTGCTCATTAACTGTCGGGTGTTTCCGTAATAGGCGGAAATACAAGTACGTTTTTTGTGTTTGCACTGCTATTTTACAAACGTTTTGTTCAATTTCAATCACGGAAGGTTACTGTTAGAATATCCTTTACAATGTATCAAAAGTGTTGTTTTCGTTCGCATTCTCCTTTAACGTCACATATACCTTAGAGGATCCATACCAGATCGGCTAGATCATACTACTCGAACAGATTACCAAAGCAGCTGATCACCAGCTGATCTTGTTTTAAGCTAGATGTTTGATTGTTTCATTTGTTCATCAAGTGACAAAATCACATTGAAACTGAGCAAAGATACTAATACAATTCATTGATCCAAGATCGCGCCACGTCAACATCAAAATCGTGTCGTTTGTGTGCCGTTTTCAGAGTTAGCCATTCAATGTAGTGACATTAATGAAGCATATTGGCGGTACCAACTCGCCGTTATGAAAACACACTAAACTTCGATAAAGTCCTAGGGACAATGAATGCACTAAACGTTGATGAACGTCCCGAGGACACTGAATGCACTAAACGTTGATGAAAGTCCTGGGGACAATGAATGCACTAAACGTTGATGAAAGCCCTGAGGACAATGAATGCACTAAACGTTGATGAAAGTCCCGAGGACAACGAATGCACTAAACGTTGATGAAAGTCCCGAGGACAATGAATGCACTAAACGTTGATGAAAGTCCTTGGGACAATGAATGCACTAAACGTTGATGAAAGTCCCGAGGACAATGAAAGCACTAAACGTTCATGAAAGTCCCGAGGACAATTAATGCACTAAACGTTCATGAATGTCCTGGGGACAATTAATGCACTAAACGTTCATGAAAGTCCCGAGGACAATGAATGCACTAAACGTTGATGAAAGTCCTAGGGACAATGAATGCACTAAACGTTGATGAAAGTCCCGAGGACAATGAATGCACTAAACGTTCATGAATGTCCTGGGGACAATGAATTCACTAAACGTTCATGAAAGTCCTGGGGACAAAGAATGCACAAAACGTTGATGAAAGTCCCGAGGACAGCGAATGCATTAAACGTTGATGAATGTCCTGCACATTCAAATATTCAATTTAGAATTTAGAACTCGTGAAGGTCCGGCTTAGAATTGGCCTTCAGTAACCCATGCTTGTCGTAAGAGGCGACTAACGGGATCGGGTGGTCAGACTTGGTTGACACATGTCATCTGTTCCCAGTTTTGCAGATCGATGTTCATGCTATTGATCACTGGAATGTCTGGTCTAGACTCGATTATTTACAGACCGCCGCCATATAGCTGTAATATTGCTGAGTGCCAAACTCACTCACTCACTTAG